GGCCCATCACCCCAGGGCGGTATGAAGTACAAGATATCCTGGATTCGCAGGTGAAGGGGGGTAAACTTTATTATCTAATCTTATGGAAGGGATATCCCCTGTCCGATGCCTCCTGGGTGTGGAAGGGGGATGTCTTTGCTCCCGACCTGATTCGTAGATACCATAGGAAATTTCCACGCAAACCTGGGGAGGGGCCGAATAACTCTTCATGTGCATGACAAAAGGCCTTACTCATCTTAGTATGCTTTCTTCCAGGGGGACATGTGGTGAGGGGGGCCGAATATCAGACCCAGCGCACCACCCACCCTCCAGTAGCCCCGTTACCGGCTCACACAATGGCAACATTGGAGAGGCCCCAACAGCTGATCCGGCGGGTCCGCGTTTCGCGCCGCCATTGCAACCACCAAGATGGGCAACCGGGATTCCTAGAGCAGCAGCTCCGTGTTTCGCACTGCTCTTGCAACCACCGAGATGGGAAACCGGGATTCCTAGAGCGGCAGCTGATGAGCCCATGTGACCAGCTAGGATGGCTAGTAATTGATATACTTAGATGACTAGTAACAACAGCACGGACGAAACGTGGCGAACGGAGGGGAGGCTGCATCGTACTTATGTTTATTGGACTTCCAAGTGTCGCTGGGTCTGTCATTAGTGGACGTTGGAGCAGAGGACTGGACGGTAAAGCAGAGTGTTTCCGGCTTTGTTCATTTCACTTCTATGTGTGGGGCGTGGACTGGGGCAGGAGAGCGCAGCATTGTTAATTAGGTTATTGGTGGGGTGTGGGTTATCAACTGGGGTTGAGCGAGGCGAGGGTGGAGTATAGTCGTGGGTGGTAATTGGGGGGTGTGCTCTGGGCGTGGTAGGTGGCTGTATTTAAGGCACTGGAAGGAGGTTACTTCCAGTGCTAACTTTATGTCAACACAGTGCATTAAACTTGTTGACTGTTCAACGTTCCTGTTTCTTGGCTTTTGTGAAGCACTACCAGGACGTTCTTACACTTTCATCTTAATTACAGAGATTCTACCTGTTGTGTCCTGAGCCTGCTGAAGCATTCAGCAGGCTCAGCAATGTTGCAAATGGTCCCGGGCAGACCAAAAGCTGCCTGGGACCAGACTGGCTGTCGGCAGCCTTGCACGCATGCGCAAGGCGCGAAAACAGCCAGCTTCCTATTGGCTGACACTGTCTGGGTTCAGGACTCTATAAATGGCCTGCGTGCCATTTTGCTGTTGCTGGTTGTAAGAAGAGATCAATAAAGAAGCTTGTTTGTTCACCATGTGTCTTTGCTTAATACCTCAACCTTGCAAACATAAAACTACCCGATAGTGATTGTTGCAATTTCCCCATCTACAAATGTCCCATTATTAAGGAAGGGCAAAGAACTGCATTTCATGGCTCTGGATTGGAAGGGACCTTGGAGATCTTCTAGTCTCAGGCAGGAAACCCTATATTGGGGTCCCCAGTCCCTGGATTGTGGCCTACTATTGGGCTGTGGCCTATTCGCAACCGAGCTACGTGAGCGGCCAGCCAGTGTGTGTGTGCAACTTGCACAAGTGGGCTTGCATGCATGGGCATATACAGGTCAACTTACAATCAAGCTGTGTGTGCCAGCCCGCTACTTGTACAAGTCAAGCTGCATGCATGTAGCCCTGTTTCCCCCTCCCCCCAAGCTGCCCTATACCATTTCAGACAAATAATTGTCCAATCGGGAGGCAGATTGTTCCACTGGTTAATTGTTCTAATTGTCAAGAACTTTCTCCTTAGCTGTAGGTTGCTTCTCTCCTTGGTTAGTTTCCATCCGTTGCTTCTTGTCCTGCCCTCAGGCACTTTGGAGAATAGTTTGGCTCCCTCTTATTTGTGGCAGCCCCTGAGATATTGGAACACTGCTATGACAGCGATTTTAGACAATTTTAGTTGAACTGATCTGCCTCTGACCATCAGAAGCAAAAATACCAAATTACAACTCAAATGGCAAAATCCACTCGGCATGAAACCTTGTTGAGGCTGTTGTCATCTCAAAATCTGTGTAAAGTCATTTTTCTGTGTCAGGGAACGTGGTGCCCAGAAGCTCACTCAGATTACAGTGTGCCTCTGAAAGCCATAATTAAGGAATACAGATAAATGAACCTCCTCATTTAATCTGTGGGGTGATCATAAAGTAAACTCAACCGATGTTGGATGATGTAACCCTCAAGAGAAAGACTTTTGAAAGAGATCTGTTTGTTCAGAACTTGTTGGTCCAGTTAAATAGTGAATAAAAAAAATGATCGGTTGACTGATCATACCTGTTGAAATGGTATAAGAGAAGGCATCGTGGTGTACGTGTCACCTATTGTTAAAAGAACTACAGGGCAATATAGAGCTCACGGACCAAGAAGAAAGCAAATTAAGCTTTAAGACAATTTTCTTTGGCCAGATAGGGGAAAAGAAATCCCATCTCTGATCTCAGGACCTTTCCACCATGGAAACGATATTGGGCCAAACCCTGTGGATGTTGGTATTTTACTTTTGCATTTCAATCACATTGTTATTCCTCGGGTGGATCCTTTACTATAATATCATAAGCATGCATCTCCCGCCAGGAATCAGCCAGGGGACAAAACTGCGCCTTCTCTATTTGTAAGAATTCTTTTCGGACTGGTAAGTCTCTGCCTTTGGACTCTAGCTTTGCTTTCAGTTGGTTCGGCTGAATGGCACAGTCCTACACTTGGTGTACCTGAGGATGCACAAGCAAGCTCAGAGAGCACCAAGGACCCCTCCTTTCAACCCTGAGCTCCAAATATTCTCTTTTATTAGAACTCACTCTGGATAGCATCTAAACCAGTGGTTCTCAACATTTGTGTGACGGCGACCCCCATCACACAAACGTGCCGTGCATGCGCAGCGCGCATGCGCGGTGGCGCCCCATGCGCTGTGCGGCGGCGCCCCCATGCGCGGTGCGCATGCACGGCGGCGCCCCCTGATGGGGGAAAATGGCAGATCGCCTTCTTTGGTGACCCCCGTAAAATGGACGATCGACCCCAAATGGGGTCGCCACCCATAGGTTGAGAACCGGTGATCTAAAAAGATCCTTTGTGTGTTATTCTTTGGTTTCTTTCTTGTCTTTCCCCTGTGCAGGCCAGGATTCTGGATAAACTTGGCATCTGCCATGAATTTTTCATATGGAGGCTCCTTTGGAATGGAATACATCCCAGGAAACCATCTGACTTGATTGTCAAGGAAATGCTTTTTGACAGAGTGCCGGTGATGGACTGTTGTCCCAAAAGAGCAAGTCCAGAGAACAGACGAGGACTTGTCTGGATCCACGGAGGAGGAGGCTTGTTTGGAAGCCCCAGTAGGTTTTCCAAATAATTGTTTGATTGATATGAAAGAAGGACGGACAAATGTTTGGCTTAAGGCAGTGATGGCGAACCTATGGCACGTGTGCCAGAGGCGGCACTTAGCGCCCTCTCTGTGGGCACACTTGCCGCCATCGTCAGCTTGCACAGGTCCATTAGGCCACCACTGGCACCCAGAGCGGCAACCCCACCCAGCACAAAGGAGGTGAAGCAGCTGGCTAGCAAGCTCAAAGTGAGGTGGTAGAGCACGCCCCCATGCGTCGCTGGCCTGTGTGCGGGGGCTGATGGTATCAGGCAGCAGCCGCTCCGTCTCGCCTTGCCCTGCAGCAATGGCACCCCCGCCCTACCCACGTCCTTACCCCTCAGGACGAACCTCCTGCCAACGCCACATCCACCAGAGACCCCCTGGATCTCCCCCAATTCTGCCAGCCCCCACAGGCATCCCCCCACAAGCAACATCAAAATGGCCACACCCACCCCAGCCATGCCCACTCAATCTGCCATGACCACAGCAGCCACACCCACCCAGTGGGCTACGCCTACCCCCAATGCGGCCTTGGCACTTTGCGATGAATAAGTCGGTTTTGGATTGTGGTTTGGGCACTCGGTCTCTAAAAGGTTCGCCATCCCTGGCCTAAGGGGTACCCTGATTCTTCTGCAGCACGCCAAGGACCAAAGGGGAAAAATGCATGTGCTCAGATAAAAACATACAAGTTAGGGGTGGGAGAAATGGGACATTCTCATCTGAACATCAATTCAAACAATTCTTTGTGATATTTCAGGATCCCACGAAAGGCTGTGCCACTTCATTGCCCGGCAAAGTGACACTGTGATCGCATGCATCGGGTAAGTGAGCTCAAGCTGACTTGTGTCACAGAAGGCACAAAAGCCAACTGCCATAACCTCTCTCTCTCTCTAGACCAGAGGTTCTCAAAGGGGTCGCCTAAGACCATCGGAAAACACATATTTCCGATGGTCATAGGAACCTAGACACCGCTCCTCTATCCATCTCCGCACAGCTTCGAACTGGGGACCGTTGCAGTGCCAGATTCGTTTCTGTCGAGCATCTCCTAAGGGAGGCTGCGCTGCTTCGCGGCCTTTTCTGTGGAGGAAGCTGAATTAAGCTCTGCCAGTGCTGTCACCCTCTTGGCTCTCTCTCTCTCGCTCTCTCTCTCGCTCTCTCTCCCCGTCTGGGCGCTTTTCCAACCAGGCTGGGCGAAGTCTAGTCCTAGACTTAGAACAGTTCATTTAGTGACTGTCCAAAGTTACAATATTTAAGAATACAGCCCCAAACCTCTTATGCAAACAGAATGCATCCTGTCAGTTGTAGGACAAATAACATGAGCAAGCATTTTATTTCCTCCCTGGATACAATTCCTGCAGCTGCAGAAAAAGCAGCAAAAATAGAAAAAAAGGAGAGGGAATGTGCATTTCATTAATGGAGAACAAAGCAACTGGGAGTAACTCAGACTTAAGAGGAAAATACTGAAATAGGCTCAAAATAAATAAAAATAAAAATAGTTGAGACTGAGCGAAGCAAACTGCCAGAAAGTGGATTTTACTACAGAAGCCAGACAGAGAAGTGATTCAGCAATGACTTCTGGACTAGCTAGTAAAAATCACCTAAATGCATGGTACAATTTATACTCTTTTTCCTATTTTAAGTTTTGATGAGATTTATAAGAAGTTTGTTCTTCTTAATTTCCTAGCTTGGTTTTTTTCCCTTTCAGCAGGATTGATTAATCCTATGACCCAGGGAAGGAAATAACTTGTTGATGAGGTTTTTGTGTATCTAGGTTAATCTTGTTGTAGGCGCTGGTGTGTCTGGGGTTAATCCTGTTATTGGTTTCTATGTGTATATAGGGCAGTGGTGGCGAACCTATGGCACGGGTGCCAGAGGCGGCACACAGAGCCCTCTCTGTGGGCATGCGTTCTATCGCCCCAGTCCTAGGCCTTCAGCTGGGTTTTATAAAACCTTTTCGCTTTAGGCCTCTGCTGCCATGTGCAAAAAAAAAAAAGGTTCAGTCAATTTCAGCTTCTTGCAGGAAAAAAAAAGATCTTGCAAAGTTGGAATTGCTTGATTGAACTTTTTAGTCCCACCCAGTCTTCCGTTACCACCGCAGCCACACCCAGCCAATGGGCCACACCCACCCGGCACTCAACGATGGATAAGTGGGTTTTGGGTTGCAGTTTGGGCACTCGGTCTCTAAAAGATTCGCCCTCACTGATATAGGGCAAGTCTGTCAGCTTTCTTTTGGTTTGTTCAAGGCTAGTCCTTATCACAGGTGGGGGAGGAAGAGAGAGGAGAGGAGAGGGGAGAGAGAAAGAGAGAGAGAGAGAGAGAGGGAGAGAGGGAGAGAGGGAGGGAAGGAGGGAGGGAGAGAGAGAGAGAGAGAGAGAGAGAGAGAGAGAGAGAGAGAGAGACTCTTCTCTGGAATTTTTGTTTTTTGGCTTGACTTTTCTAAGAGAGGGAAATGGATGTTTCTTTTGGAGCAGCCTTTCGTATTTGTAATAGTTGGTTTCTGGGCCTAGGCTTTCTACCTCTTTTCCTATTGTTCCTGCCTGTTTAATATTTCCCAAAGGTATTTCTTTTTCATGGGTATCTAGATGCTAACTTCTAATTATTGATTGAATCAATGATCCATCACAGCCATGGAGCAAGTTTCAGATTAACTCTGGAGTTCAGAGATCTCAAACCAGGAGTGGGGAACCTTGGCTCTTTGATGACTCGTGGACTTCAACTCCCAGAATTCCTGAGCCAGCCTGGCTCAGCTTGGAAACCTCTCCCTTTCCCCTCAGCATGGCTGCCTCAGGAATTCTGGGAGTTGAAGTCCACCAGTCATAAAAGAGCCCAGGTTGCCCTCCCCTGTCTTAAACGGCTCCTCCGTGGGAATTGCATCCCACGAGGGAAGCCGAGCGAGGGATTTCCTTTGGAAACAGGCCTTTGTAAGTCTAATCAGACAGGCTAAAGCTGACAGCTGCTCTTTGCTAAACTCCCCCCCCCCCCAAAAGCAACGTTGCAAAAAGAGAAACCAGTGAAGGAGCCAAACGTTTTCCTTCAACCTTCTCCAGAGGAAAGAGGAACGCGACATCCGCCAGGCGTTTTTTCTCCAAATTGGCACCCAAAGCAAAGGGAAAAAACTGTTGCGGAGTTTTGAAAAACTGCCAGGGCTGCTGCAACCCTACCCAGAACAAAGGGTCCCCTGCAGCCCAGCCTCATCCTGCACAGACGCCATGACGCCCGCACACTTACTTGTCCAAGATGAAGTACAGATCGAAGCCCCATAGCAGGCTCTCCTCTTGCTGCCTCCCTCGCCCATCACAGGGGACCATCAGGGTGTTCAGAAAGGAGGGGAAAAGGCTGTCTGGAGGTGGGGTTTTGGGTTTTTTTTTTTCACATTTCCCTTCTGCTCAGCTTTCTCTCTGATCCGTTTTCAGGGCACCTCTGCCTTGCGCTTCCAGCACAGCACAGCCACTGTCAGCCAGACAATTGGCTATTTCCGGTTCCTGTTGCTTTGCTTTGCCCCAGATTTGAGGAACATGGAAGCCTCCTCCCTCCTCCTGGCCCCCTCCCCGCAAAGGAAAGAGCCAAAATCCAGGGCTGATCTTGGCGCTTCTGCTGAGCCCTGACAGCCCTGCAGCTCCAGCCGTCTCTCGTTCAGGCTTGTGCAGTGCTGCCGCCGGTTCAGCTCATTCCCCTCCCCCCACTACCACTTCTAGGATGGTCCCGTACCACCTGCCACAGGTGGTACGCGTTTCACCAGCTGAAAAGCCCTGTGCTGAAATACTGACAGCCATAAGGAACTAACAAGGATGCCGCGGGTTACTTCAGAGTAGTTTACAGAATTACAGCTAGTCTTTGACTTACAATCACAACTGAGCCCAAAATTTCTGTTGTTTTGTGAGACAGTTAAGTGCCCTATTTTATGTCTTAACATAAAATGCCACAGTTGTTAAGTGAATCACTGCAATTTTGTTATGTTAGCAACGCAGTTGTTAACTGAATCCCACTGACTTTGCTTGTCAGAAGGTCACAAAAGGGGATCACATGAGCCTGAGACACTGCAGCTGTCATAAATATCAGTTCCCAGGTGCCCTAATTTTGATCATGTGACCACAGGGATGCTGCAACGGTCATGTGAAAAACGGTCCTAAGTCACTTTTTTCAGTGATGTTGTAATTTTCAACAGTTATTAAATGAACTGTTGTAAGTTGAGGACTGCCTCTATTGGTTGTTGCATGCTGCCCAGTCTTTTTGGGGTGGGGCAGCTATAATTTATTCATCTTCAGAATAGGAATGCCAGTGTATTTCTAAGATTGTATTTTGACTGACTGTTGCTTCAGATACCCCTTGGCGCCAGAGCACCCCTATCCAGCTCAACAACTCAGCTGCTACACTGCCGTATCACATTTTCTGAAGAATGCGCAGGACTACGGGGTGGACCCGAAACGGATCGTGCTGGCTGGCGACAGCAGCGGAGGCACACTTGTTGCCAGCACTGCTCAGCAACTTCTGATGACAAAGGACCTGCCACAGCCCCAGGCCCACATACTAATCAATCCTTACCTACAATGCCTGGATGTAAATTTACCTTCTTACCAGCAAAACCAGTCCATTCCCCCCTTAGTCAAGAAAGAGGCTGTTCGTCTTGGCACAATGTATCTCTCAGGAACCAGTGCTGGGGTCAATGAAATTATGGCCAATGCCCATGTCCCGCAGGAACTCATGGCAAAGTATCAGAAATGGATCAGTGCGGAACATATTCCGGAGGAATTTAAAGGCCGGGGTTACGTGCCGTTTGTACCTGGTCCATTTTCAGAAGATCTTTTCCAAAAATACAAAACAGTTTTCGACCCCATATTTTCCCCACTCCTGGCAGAAGACGCCGTCATCCAGCAGTTTCCAGAGACTTTCCTTTTAACCTGCGAATATGACATTTTCCGAGATGATGGCTTGCTCTATAAGAAGAGGCTGGAAGACAATGGTGTCCCTGTCACCTGGCTTCACCTCAAGGACGGATTCCATGGCATCACCTTGCTGATAGATATGGGGTCAATCCAGTTTCCAAGTACGAGGAAGAGTATGAATAGTGTAATCCAATTCCTAGAACGATTCTAGAAATCAAACAACCTCGTTCCTCTTCCTTGTTCATCTAGCCCTTACCTTACAGATCTGGATCTGAAGAGGTTATACCCTATAATTTCATTCATCTGTCCTGCTTAACTGACCTGAAGATGGTCCACCAACCCTTTGAAGAGACACATCCTTGCCCTCTCCAGCTCGTTCATAGCCCACCACTCAGGTAGCCTGGTGTCAGGCTGTGCAGGAAACTGTGGTTTTCCCTCTTACTCAAAAAACAGAATTTCCCATATGACAATCTAAGTGGCACAGAGGAACAGTTGGGTGAGTGGCCAGACGTCTAACTTTTGCGCTCTCCTTCTCCCTATAGTCAGGACAGTGGTTCTTTGGAATATCAAACTGTTGTGGAAAAAACCACGATACTTACATCAGAAGAGAAGACCACGAAGGGTTGGAGAAAACAGGCTTTATTTGTGCACAATGGTTCAGAGCATTCACATGACAAATTCTGAACCCTGAGCTATTCTCAGGGAGTAGTTCTTATAGCATTAACCACCCACGCCTTAGCCTTAGGGTGGCTCTTATCTACCTTTGACACACTAAAACAGAGAAGTTTATATCTTGAAGCTACATAAGTAAAAGGAGAAGTTCACACAAACGGTTGTCTTACCACACCTTTCTGCACGGGTGCTATCTTACAACATCTGTGACTTTTAGTTGACACTGACACTTCTTGTAAAATGGTTTCTACATAGCATGAACACATCTCTATAATTATGACACACAGATTATATGATTTAGGTTACATTGCACAGCCAAACTTAATATTATCTATTAACTATTATCAGCAACAAGCATTTCTATTAAGATATAGATATATTTTGATGAACTTTGCCTGCCCACCTCAAAACTTATGGAGAATGTTGAACATGACAGCACAAGGAAACAAAAGCCCATCACCAGCCATCAACATCCCAATGAACCAATAGGAAGGCATCACATAATTGCGACTCACAGAATAGCCCAAAGTGCATATAGGTAGTCCTTGACTAACGATAACAATTGAGCCCAAAATTTCTGTTGCTAAGTGAAACATTTGCTAAGTGAATTTGCCTCATTTTACGACCTTTCTTGTCACAGCTGCTAAGTGAATCACTATAGTTGTTAAATTAGTAACACGGTTGTTAAGTGAATCTGACTTCCCCATTGACAGAAGGCAGCAAAAAGTAATTACATGACCCCAGGAAACTGCAACCATCATAAATATGAGCCAGTTGCCAAGTTTCGGAATTTTGATCATGTGACTCTGGGGATACTGCAGCGGTCTTAAGTGTGAAAAACGGTTATAATCACTTTTTTCAGTGCCGCTGTAACTTTGAACAGTCACTAAACGAAGTGTTGTAAGTCAAGGACTACCTGTATTCCAGTAAAGAGAGGTTTCATGAGGATGGGCTCGGCAAGGGTTTGAATGCTCAGAACAGTAAACCTCTGGTCCTGGTGACCGACCCAGATTGGATCTTGCAACGTTATCCTGGGAGATGTATATGTGCCTTCATTTGTCATGGAAAACCCAGTGCAGCTCTTTCAGGAGACCATTATTCCCACAGGCAGACCAAAAAATGAACGAAAAAAGGGAATCAGCCCCCAAAAGCTCTGGAGGCCTATTGTGCTAGCCTCCCCCTCACCCATTGGCATAGGTTCTGTTTCCTAACAGGACCTTGCCTTGAACCGTGCCTTCCTCTCCTCTGTCTCTGAAGAGGCGTTTCTCTCCAAGAAGACTGATGCAGTAAGATCTTAAGGGACCTCTCCTTGTTGACGCTTCCATCTCGACTCTTCCTGTATCCGCTTTCCTTGCTCCCCCTTTGCTTTAGCTGCAGGTGGTCCCCGGTTGCTGAGCTTCTAGAATAGTGACAACTGACTTCATGTAAACCTTTTGAGCTTCAGTAAAGACTCAAGCAACAAATCCCAGTCTGTTTCATTTCTATTTCATTTCAGATTCATTTCTGCCCACCGCAAAGGGCAAGGAGAGAAAAGGGGAAGGTGGCGCAGAGGTGTTGTAAATGGCATGGCTATGTTGACAGAATGGGGTATGTGGGTCCGTGTCTGTGTGTGTGTTGGAAGGGCACGAACTAGCAAGCCCCTTTGGTGGGCAGAAGATTGTCAGTCCCTCATGAAACGGTGTGTGTGTTTGTGTGTCCCTGTCCGCAGCTCCTCTGCGATCAGGGACTGCAGGGGAAAAAGTCAGGGAATTGCACAGCCGGTGTCCAAATGGAGGCAGAGATGCTGACACAAACATATAGTTTTATATAAATAAACATATTAATAGTAAATAAGATAATCAGGCAAACAGCAGCATATCAGGTAAATCAACGTATTATGAGGTAAATTATAGAGGGCACTCAGAGGAAAAAAGGCGGGAAACAAAGAACCTCCCCCTTTTCACTCAAGGTAACCAATCAAAGCTTAGATTGCCTCATACAGTAGCCAGCCCTCTTCAACCAATCAGCTATAACTGTGTGTTCTGATTCATTGTCCAACCCTTCACTGCTCCTGCTATTAAATTAAATATCTTAAAAAAGAAGAGGAAAATGTGGAGAGGAAAGATGAACCAAGCCCCAGATTCGTCCTCAACCTGAATTAGGCAAAACAGCAACTGCCTCATCGGACAAGCCAGAATGGGTCTGTGAAAACCCAGGTAGTCCTCGACTTACAAATGCAATTGAGCCCAAAATTTCTGTTGCTCAGTTAGACAGTTGTTAAGTGAATTTTGCCCCATTTTACAACCTCTCTTGCTGTGTTTGTTAAATGAATCACTGCAGTTGTTAAGTTAGTAACACCGTTGTGAATCTAGTTTCCTCATTGACTTTGCTTGTCAGAAGTTCACAAGAGGTAATCACATGATTCCGGCACACTGCAACTGTCATAAATATGAACCATCCAAAGAAATATCTTGTCTAGTTTAATGAAGAGAAGGACTAGGTGTCACATGATAGCAGTGTTCCAATATTTCAGGGGTTTCCAGAGAGAAGAGGAAGTCAGTCTATTCTCCAAAGCACCAGAAGGCTGGACAAGAAACCATGGATGGAAACTAATCAAGGAGAGAAGCAACCTGGAACTAAGGAGAAACTTCCTGACAGTTAGAACAATTAATCAGTGGAACAACCTGCCTCCAGAAGCTGTGAATGCTCCAACACTGGAAGTTTTTAAGAAGAGACTGGACAGCCATTTATCTGAAATGGTATAAGGCAAAGGTCCCCAATCTTTTGGGCACCAGGGACTGGTTCCATGGAGAGAGGTTTTTCCATGGACTGGAGGGTGTGTGGTTTTGTGTGCTGCCTGCATCCCATGGATGGGCCGTTGCTTGTTTGTGTGGCCCAGTTGCTGGCATGCTGCAGCCTGGTACCGGTCCACAGACCGGGGGTTGGGGACCCCATATATAGGTTTGCTGCCTGAGCAGAGAGTTGGACTAGAAGACCTCCAAGGTCCCTTCCAACATTATCATTATCATCAGCAGCATCCAAATTTTGATCACATGACTGCGGGGATGACGTTATAACTTCAAACAGTCACTGAATGAACTGTTGTAGCTTGAGGACTACCTGCACTTGACTTTGCAGAAGAGTTTCCTTTAAGCCAAGCAGCCTTTCTCTCCTGGAATTCCCTAAAGTTGTTTTTAAGAGGGACAACAGGATGGCACCAGGAGGAGGAGACTTTGCCCCATGGTGGGGGGAAAGGGCCACTCCCAAAGGTTTCATGTAGAGCAAGGGTGTCAAACTCAATTTCATTGAGGGCCTCATCAGCATTATGGTTGCCCTCAAAGGGCCAGTTGCTGACTCCTTCTCTCCCTCAGGCTTCCTCCACAGAAGCCTCACTTATGCCATCCCCTTCTCTCCTTCAGGCTTGTCCCACCGACATCTCTCCTCCCTATTGCCTTCTCTGCTCTCTCACTCCTCCTTTCTACCCAAACCCCTCCTTTTTATATTCTCCTCTCCCCCATGCGTTCACTCACTGCCTGGCTGGCTTTTTCACACAGCACTCATTGACTGGAGCTGCATGTGCTGATTCTGGGGTCCCTGCCAAGCCACGGCAGCCTCACAGCTCCAGCTGACTCTTCCCCTGAAGACTGCGTGCAGCTGCCAGCCACCCCGAGGCTGTTGGAAGCCCCAATCAGCTGGAGCCACACGGGCCGATCCCAGGGCTTCAGCAGAGCCCCAGCAACACTGCAGCTCCAGCTGATTCTCCCCGGGCCTCTCTGGTGCTGCTGCAGCTTCAGCTCACCCCCCTCCCACTACACACTCTATTCAGACTGTGAGTTAAAAACGCCTTCTTTAAATCAAGTCAGATAGATAACTCAGTAGAAATGGTTTCATAACAAAAAGAAATATATTTTGATCAGAAAGATTACAAAGATTACTTGCATTCATGCTGTGTTGTTACTTCTGGAAATTACATCTTTTGTTGATTCCTACAAGTAAAAGGATGCTGCTCTCTTCCATACCATCTTTATAACTGCGCAGGCTCATTGGGTGACATCTGATAGCCCATGCTTCTTTCAGACAAAGACATTCCAATCTGACTTGTGTCCAGGAAGTCTCCCAATGCCCTTTAGAAACTCCTTCCACTGACATACTGATACATGCTCTCTAGTTAGGGTTACATAGAGCTATACGAGGTTACATAGAGCTATATGGTTCAGAATATTGCCGGCTTGGAAATTTATATTTCCACTACTAACTAGCTGAAATAGCAAAAAACATAGCATTAAGGCAGTGGTAGTCAACCTGGTCTCTACTTCCCACTAGTGGGCATTCCAGCTTTCCTGGTGGGCGGTAGGGGTTCAATCGAGCCGTTTAAATTTTCGGAACCATCGAGCCCTCCGATCGGCTCACAGAGCTTTCCAGAAGGCGTGGGGTGTTAGCCTCAGCTGTGGAATCCCGCACGGAGCTCTCGGAGGCCAGAGAGCCTCGCCGAGGCGCGCCGTTGTTGCGAGGCTCCAGTCGACTTCCTCGACGATCCGTATCACAACAGAGGCTGCGCAACAAGATAAAACCGCAAGTGCCTCATTTTTGGCTCCGGGGGGTGGAAATTAAAGGCACAACAAACAACAAGCTTCCCCTCAGGGCCCCTCAAGGCTGGGAAGGCCTGGCCAAAATACAAGCGGCTGCTAATTTTGGCGCGGCTGCCATTTTGAGAGCCACACAGAGCCCTCAGTCATAGAGGTTTCAGGCATCTCTGACAAGAACCAGGCTCTCTCTTCATCCTACTGTGACAGGCACTGATCGGGGCAAACCAAACTCCACTGAGCATTCCCTCAAGACCAAGGTAGAGGCCATGTCTCAAAAAAAGAAATACGCTTGTGGCTATTTGCCAGTGTATCTGAAGATGGGTTTCATAGAATCTGTTGTAAATAAACAACACCCAATGTATTTATGTGTCATAAAACATTATCCAATGAGGCAATGAAGCCAAGTCGATTGCGAGAACATCTTTCTACAAAGCATCCAAATGATAAGGACAAGCCCATTGAATATTTTCAGGAAATATATAAAAATTTCAAAATCGTTCAACAATCGTTGCATCATTTAAGAAACACTCTGCAGCGAACGAAGATGGATTAATTTGCGCTTATTGCATTTCACAATTAATTGCAAAAAGTGGTAAAAGCTATAATATTGGAGAAACAGTAATAATACCCTCTACAAAAGAATTTATTTCAACAGTAATGCATCAGGATATACCTGAAAATTTAAAAACGTTGCCCCTAAGCGATAGCACAGTAAAGCGACGAATTGATGAAATGGCAGTTAATGTTGAAAAAAACCTGATAAGTATTCTCCAAAATATTTCATTTTCTATGCAATTGGACGAGTCTACCACTGCAGATAATAATGCTTAATTGATGACATATGTATGTTATTTTGATGAAAACAATACATAACAAGAAGAAATGCTATTCGCAATAAATCTCATTACAGATACAAGAGGATTATCTATATTTAATACTGTGAAATCATACTTTACAAAAAATAATATTCCTTTGAATAATATTGTTGCACGTGCTACTGATGGAGCACCATCAATGGTAGGTTGTTATCGTGGATTTGTTGCTTATTTGAAGGAAGAAGTGCCAAATGTTTTATGTATTCATTGTGTGGTGCACAGACAACATCTTGTAGGAAAACATCTAAGTACAACTCTCCATTCATCATTAACTATAATAATTCGAGCCATAAACAAGATCAAATCCAAACCAAAAAATGATAGAATGTTTCGACAACTTTGCCAGGACAATAATGAAGATTTTATTACGTTACTTTTGCACACAGAAGTTCGGTGGCTGTCAAAGGGTACATCTTTAGCATTATATGATAGTGTCATACAATTTTTGGAAAGTAATAATGAGACCAATCTGTGTCAACAGTTAAAAACAGTAAAGAATGATGCCTTTTATTTGGCAGATATTTTCAAGAGGTTTCATGATGTCAATTTGCAGCTTCAAGGAGCTAATAAGACTCTTATAGGTTGCCAAAGTATTGTGTCATTATTTATTGACAAACTTGAACTACTTCGTTATAATCTATTGAAGAGAAAATTTCATCAGTTTCCTGAATTATCATCTATAAAAGATGATGTAACTCCAGAGGATATTGACAGAGTCAGTAGCCACCTCAACGAACTTAAATTGGACATGGAAAAACGATTTGAAGATATTTTGAAATTGAAGGTGTATGACTGGATGAAAAATCCTTTTACCGCAAATATTGAAAAGGCTGATATAACTTGCCAAGAAGAACTGTTAGAAATTAGATATGATGAAGAAAGTAAACATAAATTCGATAGTGGTGGATATGAAAACCTATGGCAAAGTAAAAAAATGCCTGCCTTATATCCAAATATGTGGAAAATGATATTCAGTTTATTGATACCTTTCCCCTGCCTCCTATCTTGTGGAATCAGGCTTTAGTGCTGTTAATCATATTATGACCAAAGAAAGAAACCGCCTGAATATTTCCGAAAGAGGAAACCTTCGTTTGTTCTTTACAAAAATTGTGCCAGATATCCAGTATTTAGTTTCGCAGCATCAGCCTCAGGGATCTCATTACTAATTTAATTAATTAAATGTAATTTCATCAGAGTTCCTGTTTCTATAGTGGGGCAAAAAGGTATTTAGTCAGCCACCAATTGTGCAAGTTCTCCCACTTAAAAAGATGAGAGAGGCCTGTAATTGTCATCATAGGTAGACCTCAACTATGAGAGACAAAATGAGAAAACAAATCCAGACAATCACATTGTCTGATTTGGAAAGAATTTATTTGCAAATTATGGTGGAAAATAAGTATGTGGTCACCTACAAACAAGCAAGATTTCTGGCTCTCACAGACCTGTAACTTCTTCTTTAAGAGGCTCCTCTGTCCTCCACTCATTACCTGTATTAATGGCACCTGTTTGAACTTGTTATCAGTATAAAAGACACCTGTCCACAACCTCAAACAGTCACACTCCAAACTCCACTATGGTGAAGACCAAAGAGCTGTCGAAGGACACCAGAAACAAAATTGTAGACCTGCATCAGGCTGGGAAGACTGAATCTGCAATAGGCAAGCAGCTTGGTGTGAAGAAATCAACTGTGGGAGCAATAATTAGAAAATGGAAGACATACAAGACCACTGATAATCTCCCTCGATCTGGGGCTTCACACAAGATCTCACAAGAACGGTGAGCAAAAATCCCAGAACCACACGGGGGGGCCTAGTGAATGACCTGCAAGAGAGCTGCGACCAACGTAACAAAGACAACCATCAGTAACACACTACGCCGCCAGGGACTCAGATCCTGCAGTGCCAGATGTGTTCCCCTGCTTAAGCCAGTACATGTCCAGGCCCATCTGAAATTTGCTAGAGAGCATTTGGATGATCCAGAAGAGGATTGGGAGAATGTCATATGGTCAGATGAAACCAAAGTAGAACTGTTTGGTAGAAACACAACTCGTCGTGTTTGGTAAGTAATTATTATTACTATTTTTTATTATTATTTTTTTTAATTTTACAATAAAAACCCCCTTCCCCAATCCCTCCCAACCCACCCCAAAACCCTCCCCCGTTCTTCCCAAAGCTGAATACAGGCTTAACTAGATCTTAAAAGAAAAAAAGTTTTAAACCCAAATAAACCTTAAGCAAATATAATTACACACAATAAACAAATTGTAAAATACTTTAACTCCATTATATATAAGAAACAAAAAGAGGAAAAACAAAAAAGAAAATAAAAAGAAATTAAAAAAAATAAAAAATTAAAGAATAATAACAATTACACTTCTAAATAATATCTTAAACTTATATAAATTATTCAAAAGCTAGATAATATTTTCTTATATCATACTTATATTGTATAAAATTTATCCATCTTTTCCACACCGAAAGATACTTCTCTTGCGATTGATCTTTCAAGAAAGCCGAAATTTTTGCCATTTCCGCTAAGTAGGAAACTTTAAAAAACCATTCTTGCAAAGTAGGCAAAAATTCCTTCTTCCAATATTGCCCTATTAACAACCTAGCCGCAGTAATTAAATTTAACATTAAAATAATCTCTTTATCATCACAATCAGAAACAATACCCAACAAAAACAATTGTGGAGTAAATTTTATCCTTCTTTTAAAAATTCTTTGAATATTCCACCATATCTTAATCCAAAAAGCTTTAATACTTTTACATGACCACCAAATGATAATAAGTAGCAGCAACCACATCTCCAACATTTAGGCTGCAGGTTTGGATACATACGAGACATTTTTTGTGGATCAAGGTGCCATCTATAAAACATTTTATAAAAGTTTTCCCGTAAGTTTTGGGCTTGCGTGAATTTAACATTCCTCACCCAAATAATCTCCCAAGTATCTAATAAAATTGGTTCATCAAAATTTTGTGCCCACTTAACCATACAATCTTTAACTAGCTCTGCTTCTGAGTCCAGTTCCACCAAGACACCATCAATTCTTTTAATATGGGTTTGACTTTGATCTCTAATTTGTTTTAACAAAGTCTCATCCTCTCTAAGCAAGCCCACCTTATAATCTATCTTCCACCTTTCCAATAATTGTCTATACTGAAACCATGAATAAATAATATTTTCTTGTACTAATTCATCCATAGATTTTAATTGCCAATTTTTACCATCCCACTTAAGTAATTGTGTATAAGAAGTAATATCCATCTTAACTCCTCTCCTTATTCCTTCTATTGCATGCCATGGAATAGCCCATAATGGAATTCTTGAATCACTTCTATAGTATTTCTTCCAAACCCAAAGTAAAGAAATTCTTAAGATATGAGATCTAAAGACCCTATCAACCTTTTTATTATAAATTAAATAGGCATGCCATCCAAAAAGTAAATCCCATCCCTCCAACCCTGTACTCAGCTCTGGGAAGTGGGGGAGGGAGAGGGGGGGTTCGGGTGGGTGGGCTTTGGGGTGTATACTGTAATTTTTATAAAACTTTTCAATAAAAAAAAAGAAAAGGTTTTATGTTCTCACAGTCTTTAGCGGAATTGTAGAAATTTCATTTCTCCATCTAATCCAGTTCTTTCTCTTGTCGTCTGCTGTCTCCTGGTTTTGCCACGCCCACCTTCCAGAAGCCCCAAAGGTGATTTTTCAAGAGGCAGCTGGACTTTCACAACAAAGTCCAGTTGCCTCTTGAAAAAGAACCTTTGGGACAACCGTGACCTGGATGACTGAAAACCTCCATGGACATCCATTATCCAGAACTTTTTTCCCTCATTATTGTTATTTAATGGGGAACCCCAAATATTCTCAGAGAGTCTACTTCTAAATAGTTTGGTGTGAGCTCTAACCATCTCCCAATCTTTATTCCAACAGGATCTGAATGGAAAAGTGTAACAGAGGGGCAACTATGTGGGAATTTCTCTGAAGAAACTGAGCAGGAACTCTTTGAAGAGAAAGTCTGGAACCGAATTCAACCCTCACACCAAGAAGGAAGCCAACAAGAAGAATGGATCGATAAACCCCTTCCTTGTTCCATTGGAGAGTTCCATCAAATCTCACTGCAGCAAAAAAAAAAAAAAAAAAAACCAGGAAGGAGAGGAAAGAAATGGATGTCTCAGTGATCCCTGGGAAATATCTGCCGAGATTGAATCCCAGAAAAGTATTTTGGGGAAGAACACCAGAGACAGGGAAATACTTTATAAAGAAGAGAGTTCATATGCATTTCTGGAAAACCAAGAGAAGTTTCTAGTTCCTTTATTCCTCCATCGTATCAGGCTGTCCATGCTGATGGACAACATCAACCCTCCGATTTCAGCAAAAGCTTTCATGGTCCATCCAACCTGCTGACACCGCCGAGAATCCCTAAAGTGGAGAAGTTGTATAAATGCTTGGAATGCGGGAAGTCCTTCAGTCGCAGCGCCCATCTGATGTCCCACCAGATCATCCACACCGGAGAAAAGCCGTATACGTGTTTAGAGTGTGGGAAGAGCTTGATTCAGAGCGCCCACCTCGCCTCCCATCAAATTATCCACACAGGGGAGAAGCCGTACCAGTGCTCGGAATGCGGGAAAAGTTTCAACAAGAGCACCAACTTCGTGAGGCATCAGAAGATCCACAAAGGAGAGAAGCCGCATCAGTGCGCCGATTGCAACAAGACTTTTTCTGACAAACCGAGTCTCATTCAGCACCAAAGGGTTCACATGGGGGAGAGGCCATACAAATGTTACGAGTGTGGGAAGAGTTTCAGTCATAGGGGCAGCCTCAATGCGCATCAGCGGATGCACACGGGGGAGAAGCCGTACGGCTGCAAGGACTGTGGGAAGAGCTTTCGGGATCAGTCCAGCCTTATTAGACATAAGAGAACCCACACCGGGGAGAAACCCTACACCTGCTCCGAGTGTGGGAAAAGCTTCAGCCAGAGCACAAACCTGACTTTGCATCAAAGGGTGCACACCGACGGGAAGCTTCCAGAAGAGTCTCCCCAAATACTTAACACAGGGATGGCCATGTTAGTCTTTCCACCAAATCCTGCAAATGATTTAGTGGCATTTGAAAGCTAACATTTAGTGGTACTTGGCTCAATAGTACTAACTGTGAGAGGGATTGTCCTGGTGGACAATCATTTAAATATGAGCCAGCAGTGTGCTGCAGCCGCCAACCAAGCCAACACAATTCTAGGCTGCCTTAATAGAGGGATAGAATCAATATCATGTGAAGTGTTAATAAGGGTTTACAATGCCTTGGTAAGACCACACTTGGAATACTGCATCCAGTTTTGGTTGCCACGGTACAAAAAGACGTTGAGATTCTAGAAAGAGTGCAGAGAAGAGCAACAAAGATGATTAGGGGACTGGAGGTTAAAACATATGAAGAACAGTTGCAGGAATTGGGTATGTCTAGTTTAATGAAAATAAGGACTAGGGGTGACATGATAGCAGTGTGTCAACAGCCAGCTCGAGAATCCAAATAAAGCTCCAGCTTCATTCTGTTTCCAAAAATCTTACTGTTTATTAAGTTGATTGATTTTGCTGAAACAAAACTAACTCTGAGGTTCTAACACCAATTCATAGACTTAAACAATAATTTTCCCAGCCAAACCCCCAATGTCTTACGTAGTCCGTATAAACAAGTTGTGTTTGTTATGGGAACTGTCTGCTTCAAATCCACACCTGTTCTGGTGTCCTTGAAAAGGTTTCAGGTTCTCACAGTCTTCAGCGGAATTGTACAAATTTCATTTTCCCATCTAATCCACTGGAAAGTAAGACTCCCTCCCCCCTTACTCTAAAGGCAAGTTGAAATGCAGAGGAACATAGCTGTCAAAGTTTCATCCTTGAGACAGTGTTCCATTATTTGAGGGGCTGCCACAAAGAAGAGGGGGTAAACCTATTTTCCAAAGCACCAGAAGGCAGGACAAGAAGCAATGGATAGAAACTAACAAGCAGAGAAGCAACCTAGAACTAAGGAGAAATTTCCTGAAAGTCAGAACAAATTAATCAATGGAATAGCTTGCTTCCAGAAGTTTAATGGGAGTGCTCCATCACTGGAGGTTTTCAAGAAGAGATTGGACAACCATTTGTCAGGAATGTTATAGGGCCCCTTGTTTCTATAGAGGGTTGGACTAGAAGACCTCCAAGATCTCTTCCGTTATTGTCTTCTGTAAATCCATGTGGCCAGCTTGCACTCCTGCAGGCAATGCTTTCACTGACTTTGCTGGGGCCCTGTCACCACTGTTGTGACTGCTCTTCTCTGCCTGCTGATTTGAAGAATGCCGAGATTGGACTCTCCAGTTCTCTCCCACAGGCCATCTTGCAACAGGTGTGGCAACCAGAGAAGACACAAGAGAATGCCAGAGTAGCTTCCAAAGGTGGGGGGGGCAAGGAAACCATGATCCTCCCCAGGGCACAGCTCAGCCCCCTCCCCGAGGGCCACCATCAGCATTCCCAGCTCTTTTTTTCTTCCCTTCCTTCTTCCCCAATCACCTTTCCACTTTATGAATTTCTATTTGCGTATATAGGTATTCCCCGACTTACAGCAGTTTGCTTAGTGACCGTTCAAAGTTACAACAGCACTGAAAAAAGTAACTTACGTCTGATTTACACCCCCTGTCATGGTTCCGACAGATGACACTCTTCAAAAGAACTTTGAGGCATTGTTTACCTTAAAGGATCTTTTATTCGAGTAGCATAATACCGGCACTTACATAATCGAAGCCAAAAACTGAATTCCCCCCCCCCGGCACATAGTATCAAAGCACAATTCCCTCCCTCGTCCAATTAACAGTCATAAATCACATTCCCCAATTAGCTTGAAGTGTGGGGTTCTTCTCCAGCTCTCCAGCCCGCCAATTCTTTATCAGCTCTGGCTCAATAACCTTGATTCTCACGCTACGTTTTAGTGTTGTTATGTCTAGCTGGACTCTGGAATCTGAAACAAAAAAAGCATCATTGGTAAAACGTTCTGTCAGACCCAGCGCACCACCCACCCTCCAGTAGCCCCGTTACCGGCTCGCACAATGGCAACATTGGAGAGGCCCCAACAGCTGATCCGGCGGGTCCGCGTTTCGCGCCGCCATTGCAACCGAGATGGGCAACCGGGATTCCTAGAGCGGCAGCTCTGTGTTTCGCACTGCTATTGCAAAAACCGAGATGGGAAACCGGATTCCTAGAGCGGCAGCTGATGAGCCCATGTGACCAGCTAGGATGGCTAGTAATTGATATACTTAGATGACTAGTAACAACAGCACGGACGAAACGTGGTGAACGGAAGGGAGGCTACTTCGTACTTATGTTTATTGGACTTCCAAGTGTCGCTGGGTCTGTCATTAGTGGACGTTGGAGCAGAGGACTGGACGGTAGAGCAGAGTGTTGCCGGCTTTGTTCATTTCACTTCTATGTGTGGGGCGTGGACTGGGGCAGGAGAGCGCAGCATTGTTAATTAGGTTATTGGTGGGGTGTGGGTTATCAACTGGGGTTGAGCGAGGCGAGGGTGGAGTATAGTCGTGGGTGGTAATTGGGGGGTGTGCTCTGGGCGTGGTAGGTGGCTGTATTTAAGGCACTGGAAGGAGGTTACTTCCAGTGCTAACTTTATGTCAACACAGTGCATTAAACTTGTTGATTGTTCAACGTTCCTGTTTCTTGGCTTTTGTGAAGCACTACCAGGACGTTCTTACACTTTCATCTTAATTACAGAGATTCTACCTGTTGTGTCCTGAGCCTGCTGAAGCATTCAGCAGGCTCAGCAATGTTGCAAACGGTCCCGGGAAGACCAAAAGCTGCCTGGGACCAGACTGGCTGTCACCAGCCTTGCACGCATGCGCAAGGCGCGAAAACAGCCAGCTTCCTATTGGCTGACACTGTCTGGGTTCAGGACTCTACAAATGGCCTGCGTGCCATTTTGCTGCTGCTGGTTGTAAGAAGAGATCAATAAAGAAGCTTGTTTGTTCACCATGTGTCTTTGCTTAATACCTCAACCTTGCAAACATAAAACTACCCGATACTGATTGTTGCAATTTTCCCATCTACAAATGTCCCATTATTAAGGAAGGGCAAAGAACTGCATTTCAGGGCTCTGGATTGGAAGGGACCTTGGAGGTCTTCTAGTCCAACCTCCTGCTCAGGCAGGAAACCCTATATTGGGGTCCCCAGTCCCTGAACTGTGGCCTACTATTGGGCTGTGGCCTATTCGCAACCGAGCCACATGAGCGGCCAGCCATTGTGTGTGTGCAGCTTGCGCAAGGGGGCTTGCATGCATGGGCATATACAGGTCAACTTACAATCAAGCTGTGTGTGCCAGCCCGCTACTTGTACAAGTCAAGCTGCATGCATGTAGCCCTGTTTCCCCCTCCCCCCAAGCTGCCCTATACCATTTCAGACAAATAATTGTCCAATCGGGAGGCAAATTGTTCCACTGGTTAATTGTTCTAATTGTCAAGAAGTTTCTCCTTAGTTCTACGTTGCTTCTCTCCTTTGTTAGTTTCCATCCGTTGCTTCTTGTCCTGCCCTCAGGCACTTTGGAGAATAGTTTGACTCCCTCTTATTTGTGGCAGCCCCTGAGATATTGGAACACTGCTATGATGGCTATTTTAGACAATTTTAGTTGAACTGATCTGCCTCTGACCATCAGAAGCAAAAATACCAAATTACAACGCAAATGGCAAAATCCACTCGGCATGAAACCTTGTTGAGGCTGTTGTCATCTCAAAATCCGTGTAAAGTCATTTTTCTGTGTCAGGGAACGTGGTGCCCAGAAGCTCACCCAGATTACAGTGTGCCTCTGAAAGCCATAATTAAGGAATACAGATAAATGAACCTCCTCATTTAATCTGTGGGGTGATCATAAAGTAAACTCAACCGATCTTGGATGATGTAACCCTCAAGAGAAAGACTTTTGAAAGAGATCTGTTTGTTCAGAACTTGTTGGTCCAGTTAAATAGTGAATAAAAAAAATGATCAGTTGACTGATCATACCTGTTGAAATGGTATAAGAGAAGGCATCGTGGTGTACGTGTCACCTATTGTTAAAAGAACTACAGGGCAATATAGAGCTCACGGACCAAGAAGAAAGCAAATTAAGCTTTAAGACAATTTTCTTTGGCCAGATAGGGGAAAAGAAATCCCATCTCTGATCTCAGGACCTTTCCACCATGGAAACGATATTGGGCCAAACCCTGTGGATGTTGGTATTTTACTTTTGCATTTCAATCACGTTGTTATTCCTCGGGTGGATCCTTTACTTTAATATCATCGGCATGCATATCCCGCCAGGAATCAGCCAGGGGAGAAAACTGCGCCTTCTCTATTTGTTTGTAAGAATTCTTTTCGGACTGGTAAGTCTCTGCCTTTGGACTCTAGCTTTGCTTTCAGTTGGTTCGGCTGAATGGCACAGTCCTACACTTGGTGTACCTGAGGATGCACAAGCAAGCTCAGAGAGCACCAAGGACCCCTCCTTTCAACCCTGAGCTCAAAATAGTCTCTTTTGTTAGAACTCGCTCTGGATAGCATCTAAACCAGTGGTTCTCAACGTTTGTGTGACAGCGACCCCCATCACACAAACGTGCCACGCATGCGCAGTGCGCATGCGCGGCGGCACCCCATGCGCTGTGCGGCGGCGCCCCCATGCGCGGTGCGCATGCACGGCGGCGCCCCCTGAGGGGGGGAAATGGCGGATCGCCTTCTTTGGTGACCCCCGTAAAATGGACGATCGACCCCAAATGGGGTCGCGACCCATAGGTTGAGAACCGCTGATCTAAACAGATCCTTTGTGTGTTATTCTTTGGTTTCTTTCTTGTCTTTCCCCTGTGCAGGCCAGGATTCTGGATAAACTTGGCATCTGCCATGAATTTTTCATATGGAGGCTCCTTTGGAATGGAATACATCCCAGGAAACCATCTGACTTGATTGTCAAGGAAATGCTTTTTGACAGAGTGCCGGTGATGGTCTGTTGTCCCAAAAGAGCAAGTCCAGAGAACAGACGAGGACTTGTCTGGATCCATGGAGGAGCAGGCTTGTTTGGAAGCCCCCGTAGGTTTTCCAAATAATTGTTTGATTGATATGAAAGAAGGACGGACAAATGTTTGGCTTAAGGCAGTGATGGCAAACCTATGGCACGTGTGCCAGAGGTGGCACTTAGCGCCCTCTCTGTGGGCACACTTGCCGCCATAGTCAGCTTGCACAGGTCCATTAGGCCCCCGCTGGCACCCAGAGCGGCAACCCCACCCAGCACAAAGGAGGTGAAGCAGCTGGCTAGCAAGCTCAAGGAGAGGTGGTAGAGCACGCCCCCATGCGTCGCTGGCCTGTGTGCGGGGGCTGATGGTATCAGGCAGCAGCCGCCCCTGTCTCGCCTTGCCCTGCAGCAATGGCACCCCTGCCCTACCCCTGCCTCACCCCTCAGGACGAACCTCCTGCCAACGCCACATCCACCAGAGACCCCCTGGATCTCCCCCAATTCTGCCAGCCCCCACAGGCATCCCCCCACAAGCAACATCAAAATGGCCACACCCACCCCAGCCATGCCCACTCAATCTGCCATGACCACAGCAGCCACACCCACCCAGTGGGCTACGCCTACCCCCAATGCGGCCTTGGCACTTTGCGATGAATAAGTCGGTTTTGGATTGTGGTTTGGGCACTCGGTCTCTAAAAGGTTCGCCATCCCTGGCCTAAGGGGTACCCTGATTCTTCTGCAGCACGCCAAGGACCAAAGGGGAAAAATGCATGTGCTCAGATAAAAACATACAAGTTAGGGGTGGGAGAAATGGGACATTCTCATCTGAACATCAATTCAAACAATTCTTTGTGATATTTCAGGATCCCACGAAAGGCTGTGCCACTTCATTGCCCGGCAAAGTGACACTGTGATCGCATGCATCGGGTAAGTGAGCTCAAGCTGACTTGTGTCACAGAAGGCACAAAAGCCAACTGCCATAACCTCTCTCTCTCTCTAGACCAGAGGTTCTCAAAGGGGTCGCCTAAGACCATCGGAAAACACATATTTCCGATGGTCATAGGAACCTAGACACCGCTCCTCTATCCATCTCCGCACAGCTTCGAACTGGGGGCCGTTGCAGTGCCAGATTCGTTTCTGTCGAGCATCTCCTAAGGGAGGCTGCACTGCTTCGCGGCCTTTTCTGTGGAGGAAGCTGAATTAAGCTCTGCCAGTGCTGTCACCCTCTTGGCTCTCTCTCTCTCGCTCTCTCTCTCGCTCTCTCTCCCCGTCTGGGCGCTTTTCCAACCAGGCTGGGCGAAGTCTAGTCCTAGACTTAGAACAGTTCATTTAGTGACTGTCCAAAATTACAATATTTAAGAATACAGCCCCAAACCTCTTATGCAAACAGAATGCATCCTGTCAGTTGTAGGACAAATAACATGAGCAAGCATTTTATTTCCTCCCTGGATACAATTCCTGCAGCTGCAGAAAAAGCAGCAAAAATAGAAAAAAAGGAGAGGGAATGTGCATTTCATTAATGGAGAACAAAGCAACTGGGAGTAACTCAGACTTAAGAGGAAAATACTGAAATAGGCTCAAAATAAATAAAAATAAAAATAGTTGAGACTGAGCGAAGCAAACTGCCAGAAAGTGGATTTTACTACAGAAGCCAGACAGAGAAGTGATTCAGCAATGACTTCTGGACTAGCTAGTAAAAATCACCTAAATGCATGGTACAATTTATACTCTTTTTCCTATTTTAAGTTTTGATGAGATTTATAAGAAGTTTGTTCTTCTTAATTTCCTAGCTTGGTTTTTTTCCCTTTCAGCAGGATTGATTAATCCTATGACCCAGGGAAGGAAATAACTTGTTGATGAGGTTTTTGTGTATCTAGGTTAATCTTGTTGTAGGCGCTGGTGTGTCTGGGGTTAATCCTGTTATTGGTTTCTATGTGTATATAGGGCAGTGGTGGCGAACCTATGGCACGGGTGCCAGAGGCGGCACACAGAGCCCTCTCTGTGGGCATGCGTTCTATCGCCCGAGTCCTAGGCCTTCAGCTGGGTTTTATAAAACCTTTTCGCTTTAGGCCTCTGCTGCCATGTGCAAAAAAAAAAAAGGTTCAGTCAATTTCAGCTTCTTGCAGGAAAAAAAAAGATCTTGCAAAGTTGGAATTGCTTGATTGAACTTTTTAGTCCCACCCAGTCTTCCGTTACCACCGCAGCCACACCCAGCCAATGGGCCACACCCACCCGGCACTCAACGATGGATAAGTGGGTTTTGGGTTGCAGTTTGGGCACTCGGTCTCTAAAAGGTTCGCCATCACTGAGATAGGGCAAACCTGTCAGCTTTCTTTTGGTTTGTTCAAGGCTAGTGCTTATCACAGGTGGGGGAGGAAGAGAGAGGAGAGGAGAGGGGAGAGAGAAAGAGAGAGAGAGAGAGGGAGAGAGGGAGGGAAGGAGAGAGAGAGAGAGAGAGAGAGAGACTCTTCTCTGGTACTTTTGTTTTTTGGCTTGACTTTTCTAAGAGAGGGAAATGGATGTTTCTTTTGGAGCAGCCTTTCGTATTTGTAATAGTTGGTTTCTGGGCCTAGGCTTTCTACCTCTTTTCCTATTGTTCCTGCCTGTTTAATATTTCCCAAAGGTATTTCTTTTTCATGGGTATCTAGATGCTAACTTCTAATTATTGATTGAATCAATGATCCATCACAGCCATGGAGCAAGTTTCAGATTAACTCTGGAGTTCAGAGATCTCAAACCAGGAGTGGGGAACCTTGGCTCTTTGATGACTCGTGGACTTCAACTCCCAGAATTCCTGAGCCAGCCTGGCTCAGCTTGGAAACCTCTCCCTTTCCCCTCAGCATGGCTGCCTCAGGAATTCTGGGAGTTGAAGTCCACCAGTCATAAAAGAGCCCAGGTTGCCCTCCCCTGTCTTAAACGGTTGCTCCGCGGGGATTGCATCCCACGAGGGAAGCCGAGCGAGGGATTTCCTTTGGAAACAGGCCTTTGTAAGTCTAATCAGACAGGCTAAAGCTGACAGCTGCTCTTTGCTAAACTCTGCCCTGAGTCCTTCGGGATTGGGCGGCATATAAATATTAAAAATAAATAAATAAATAAATAAACTCCCCCCCCAAAAAAAGAGAAACCAGTGAAGGAGCCAAACTTTTTCCTTCAACCTTCTCCAGAGGAAAGAGGAACGCGACATCCGCCAGGCGTTTTTTCTCCAAAACTGCTGCGGAGTTTTGAAAAACTGCCAGGGCTGCTGCAACCCTACCCAGAACAAAGCGTCCCGTGCAGCCCAGCCTCATCCTGCACAGACACCGCGACACCCGGCCACTTACTTATCCAAGATGAAGTACAGATCGAAGCCCCGTAGCAGGCGGCGCCCCTCTCCTCTTGCTGCCTCCCTCGCCCATCCCAGGGGACCATCAGGGTGTTCAGAAAGGAGGGGAAAAGGCTGTCTGGAGGTGGGTTTTGGTTTTTTTTTTCACATTTCCCTTCTGCTCTGCTTTCTCTCTGGTCCGTTTTCAGGGCACCTCTGCCTTGCGCTTCCAGCGCAGTGCAGCCACTGTCAGCCAGGTGATTGACAATTTCTGGTTCCTGTTGCTTTGCTTTGCCCCAGATTTGAGGAACATGGAAGCCTCCTCCCTCCTCCTGGCCCCCTCCCCGCAAAGGAAAGAGCTGAAATCCAGGGCTGATCTTGGCGCTTCTGCTGAGCCCTGACAGCCCTGCAGCTCCAGCCGTCTCTCGTTCAGGCTTGTGCGGTGCTGCCGCCAGTTCAGCTCATTCCCCTCCCCCCACTACCACTTCTAGGATGGTCCCGTACCACCTGCCACAGGTGGTACGCGTTTCACCAGCTGAAAAGCCCTGTGCTGAAATACTGACAGCAATAAGGAACCAACAAGGATGCCGCGGGTTACTTCAGAGTAGTTTACAGAATTACAGCTAGTCTTTGACTTACAATCACAACTGAGCCCAAACTTTCTGTTGTTTTGTGAGACAGTTGTTAAGTGCCCCATTTTATGTCTTAACATAAAATGCCACAGTTGTTAACTGAATCCCACTGACTTTGCTTGTCAGAAGGTCACAAAATGGGATCACATGAGCCTGAGACACTGCAGCTGTCATAACTATCAGTTGCCAGGCGCCCTAATTTTGATCATGTGACCACAGGGATGCTGCAACGGTCATGTGAAAAACGGTCCTAAGTCACTTTTTTCAGTGATGTTGTAATTTTCAACAGTTATTAAATGAACTGTTGTAAGTCGAGGACTGCTTCTATTGGTTGTTGCATGCTGCCCAGTCTTTTTGGGGTGGGGCAGCTATAATATATTCATCTTCATAATAGGAATGCCAGTGCATTTGAAAGATTGTATTTTGACTGAATGTTGCTTCAGATACCCCTTGGCGCCAGAGCACCCCTATCCAGCTCAACAACTCAGCTGCTACACTGCCCTATCACATTTTCTGAAGAATGCGCAGGACTACGGGGTGGACCCGAAACGGATCGTGCTGGCTGGCGACAGCAGCGGAGGCACACTTGTTGCCAGCACTGCTCAGCAACTTCTGATGACAAAGGACCTGCCACAGCCCCGGGCCCACATACTAATCTATCCTTTCCTACAAGGCCTGGATTTAAATTTACCTTCTTACCAGCAAAACCAGTTTATTCCCCTCTTAGTCAAGAAAGAGGCTGTTCGTCTTGCCACAGTTTATCTGTCGGGAACTGATGCCGGGGTCAATGAAATTATGGCCAATGCTCATGTCCCGCAGGAACTCATGGCAAAGTATCAGAAATGGATCAGTGCGGAACATATTCCGGAGGAATTTAAAGGCCGGGGTTACGTGCCGTTTGTACCTGGTCCGTTTTCAGAAGATCTTTTCCAAAAATACAAAACAGTTTTCGACCCCATATTTTCCCCACTCCTGGCGGAAGATGCCGTCATCCAGCAGTTTCCAGAGACTTTCCTCTTAACCTGCGAATATGACATTTTCCGAGATGATGGCTTGCTCTATAAGAAGAGGCTGGAAGACAATGGTGTCCCTGTCACCTGGCTTCACCTCAAGGACGGATTCCATGGGATCACCTCGCTGATAGATATGGGGTCAATCCAGTTTCCAAGTACGAGGAAGAGTATGAATAGTGTAATCCAATTCCTAGAACGATTCTAGAAATCAAACAGCCTCGTTCCTCTTCCTTGTTCATCTAGCCCTTGCCTTACAGATCTGGATCTGAAGAGGTTATACCCTATAATTTCATTCATCTGTCCTGCTTAACTGACCTGAAGATGGTCCACCAACCCTTTGAAGAGACACATCCTTGCCCTCTCCAGCTCGTTCATAGCCCACCACTCAGGTAGCCTGGTGTCAGGCTGTGCAGGAAACGGTGGTTTTCCCTCTTACCCAAAAAAGAGAATTTCCCATATGACAGTCTAAGTGGCACCGAGGAACCATTGGGAGAGTGGCCAGACGTCTAACTTTTGCGCTCTCCTCCTCCCTATAGTCAGGACAGTGGTCTTTGGAATATCAAACTTGTGGAGAATGTTGAACATGACAGCACAAGGAAACAACAGCCCATCACCAGCCATCAACACCCCAATGAACCAATAGGAAGGCATCACATAATTGCGACTCACAGAATGGCCCAAAGTGCATATAGGTAGTCCTCGACTAACGATAACAATTGAGCCCAAAATTTCTGTTGCTAAGTGAATTTGCCTCATTTTACGGTCTTTCTTGTCAGAGTTGTTAAGTGAATCACTATAGTTGTTAAGTTAGTAACACGGTTGTTAAGTGAATCTGACTTCCCCATTGACAGAAGGCAGCAAAAAGTAATTACATGACCCCAGGACACTGCAACCATCATAAATATGAGTCAGTCGCCAAGTGTCGGAATTTTGATCATATGACTCTGGGGATACTGCAGCGGTCTTAAGTGTGAAAAACGGTTATAATCACTTTTTTCAGTGCCGCTGTAACTTTGAACAGTCACTAAACGAAGTGTTGCAAGTCAAGGACTACCTGTATTCCAGTAAAGAGAGGTTTCCTGAGGATGGGCTCCGGCACGGGTCTGAATGCTCAGAACAGTAAACCTCTGGTCCTGGTGACCGACCCAGATTGGATCTTGCAACGTTATCCTGGGAGATGTATATGTGCCTTCATTTGTCATGGAAAACCCAGTGCAGCTCTTTCAGGAACCATTAGTCCCACAGGCAGACCAAAAAATGAACGAAAAAAGGGAATCAGCCCCCAAAAGCTCTGGAGGCCTATTGTGCTAGCCCCCCTCACCCGTTGGCATAGGTTCTGTTTCCTAACAGGACCTTGCCTTGAACCGTGCCTTCCTTTCCTCTGTCTCTGAAGAGGCATTTCTCTCCAACAAGACTAATGCAGTAAGATCTTAAGGGACCTCTCCTTGTTGACGCTTCCATCTCAACTCTTCCTGTATCCGCTTTCCTTGCTCCACCTTTGCTTTAGCTGCAGGTGGTCCCCGGTTGCTGAGCTTCTAGAATAGTGACAACTGACTTCATGTAAACCTTTTGAGCTTCAGTAAAGACTCAAGAAACAAATCCCAGTCTGTTTCATTTCTATTTCATTTCAGATTCATTTTTGCCCACTGCAAAGGGCAAGGAGAGAAAAGGGGAAGATGGCGCAGAGGTGTTGTAAAGGCATGGCTATGTTGACAGAATGGGGCGTGTGGGTCCGTGTCTGTGTGTGTGTTGGAAGGGCACGAACTAGCAAGTCCCTTCGGTGGGCCGAAGACTGCCAGCCCCTCATGAAACAGTGTGTGTGTGTGTGTGTGTGTGTGTGTGTCCCTCTCCTCAGCTCTTCTGCGATCAGGGACTGCAGGGAAAAATGTTAGGGAATTGGACAGCTGGTGTCCAAATGGAGGCAGAGATGCTGACACAAAACATATAGTTTTATATTAATAAACATATTAATAGTAAATAAGATAATCAGGCAAACAGCAGCATATCAGGTAAATCAACGTATTATGAGGTAAATTATAGAGGGCACTCAGAGGAAAAAAGGCGGGAAACAAAGAACCTCCCCCTTTTCACTCAAGGTAACCAATCAAAGCTTAGATTGCCTCATACAGTAGCCAGCCCTCTTCAACCAATCAGCTATAACTGTGTGTTCTGATTCATTGTCCAACCCTTCACTGCTCCTGCTATTAAATTAAATATCTTAAAAAAGAAGAGAAAAATGTGGAGAGGAAAGATGAACCAAGCCCCAGATTCGTCCTCAACCTGAATTAGGCAAAACAGCAACTGCCTCATCGGACAAGCCAGAATGGGTCTGTGAAAACCCAGGTAGTCCTCGACTTACAAATGCAATTGAGCCCAAAATTTCTGTTGCTCAGTTAGACAGTTGTTAAGTGAATTTTGCCCCATTTTACAACCTCTCTTGCTGTGTTTGTTAAATGAATCACTGCAGTTGTTAAGTTAGTAACACCGTTGTGAATCTAGTTTCCTCATTGACTTTGCTTGTCAGAAGTTCACAAGAGGTAATCACATGATTCCGGCACACTGCAACTGTCATAAATATGAACCATCCAAAGAAATATCTTGTCTAGTTTAATGAAGAGAAGGACTAGGTGTCACATGATAGCAGTGTTCCAATATTTCAGGGGTTTCCAGAGAGATGAGGGAGTCAGTCTATTCTCCAAAGCACCAGAAGGCTGGACAAGAAACCATGGATGGAAACTAATCAAGGAGAGAAGCAACCTGGAACTAAGGAGAAACTTCCTGACAGTTAGAACAATTAATCAGTGGAACAACCTGCCTCCAGAAGCTGTGAATGCTCCAACACTGGAAGTTTTTAAGAAGAGACTGGACAGCCATTTATCTGAAATGGTATAAGGCAAAGGTCCCCAATCTTTTGGGCACCAGGGACTGGTTCCGTGGAGAGAGGTTTTTCCACAGACTGGAGGGTGTGTGGTTTTGTGTGCTGCCTGCATCCCATGGATGGGCCGTTGCTTGTTTGTGCGGCCCATTTGCTGGCATGCTGCAGCCTGGTACTGGTCCACAGACCGGGGGTTGGGGACCCCATGTATAGGTTTGCTGCCTGAGCAGAGGGTTGGACTAGAAGACCTCCAAGGTCCCTTCCAACATTATCATTATCATCATCATCATCCAAATTTTGATCACATGACCGCGGGGATGACGTTGTAACTTCAAACAGTCACTGAATGAACTGTTGTAGCTTGAGGACTACCTGCACTTGACTTTGCAGAAGAGTTTCCTTTAAGCCAAGCAGCCTTTCTCTCCTGGAATTCCCTAAAGTTGTTTTTAAGAGGGACAACAGGATGGCACCAGGAGGAGGAGACTTTGCCCCATGGTGGGGGGAAAGGGCCACTCCCAAAGGTTTCATGTAGAGCAAGGGTGTCAAACTCAATTTCATTGAGGGCCTCATCAGCATTATGGTTGCCCTCAAAGGGCCAGTTGCTGACTCCTTCTCTCCCTCAGGCTTCCTCCACAGAAGCCTCACTTATGCCATCCCCTTCTCTCCTTCAGGCTTGTCCCACCGACATCTCTCCTCCCTATTGCCTTCTCTGCTCTCTCACTCCTCCTTTCTACCCAAACCCCTCCTTTTTATATTCTCCTCTCCCCCATGCGTTCACTCACTGCCTGGCTGGCTTTTTCACACAGCACTCATTGACTGGAGCTGCATGTGCTGATTCTGGGGTCCCTGCCAAGCCACGGCAGCCTCACAGCTCCAGCTGACTCTTCCCCTGAAGACTGCGTGCAGCTGCCAGCCACCCCGAGGCAGTTGGAAGCCCCAATCAGCTGGAGCCACACGGGCCGATCCCAGGGCTTCAGCAGAGCCCCAGCAACACTGCAGCTCCAGCTGATTCTCCCCCGGGCCTCTCTGGTGCTGCTGCAGCTTCAGCTCACCCCCCTCCCACTACATACTCTATTCAGACTGTGAGTTAAAAACGCCTTCTTTAAATCAAGTCAGATAGATAACTCAGTAGAAATGGTTTCATAACAAAAAGAAATATATTTTGATCAGAAAGATTACAAAGATTACTTGCATTCATGCTGTGTTGTTACTTCTGGAAATTACATCTTTTGTTGATTCCTACAGGTAAAAGGATGATGCTCTCTTCCATACCATCTTTATAACTGCGCAGGCTCATTGGGTGACATCTGATAGCCCATGCTTCTTTCAGACAAAGACATTCCAATCTGACTTGTGTCCAGGAAGTCTCCCAATGCCCTTTAGAAACTCCTTCCACTGACATACTGATACATGCTCTCTAGTTAGGGTTACATAGAGCTATACGAGGTTACATAGATCTATATGGTTCAGAATACTCCCGGCTTGGAAATTTATATTTCCACTACTAACTAGCTGAAATAGCAAAAAACATAGCATTAAGGCAGTGGTAGTCAACCTGGTCCCTACTTCCCACTAGTGGGCATTCCAGCTTTCCTGGTGGGCGGTAGGGGTTCAATCGAGCCGTTTAAATTTTCGGAACCATCGAGCCCTCCGATCGGCTCACAGAGCTTTCCAGAAGGCGCGGGGTGTTAGCCTCAGCTGTGGAATCCCGCACGGAGCTCTCGGAGGCCAGAGAGCCTCGCCGAGGCGCGCCGTTGTTGCGAGGCTCCAGTCGACTTCCTCGACGATCCGTATCACAACAGAGGCTGCGCAACAAGATAAAACCGCAAGTGCCTCATTTTTGGCTCCGGGGGGTGGAAATTAAAGGCACAACAAACAACAAGCTTCCCCTCAGGGCCCCTCAAGGCTGGGAAGGCCTGGCCAAAATACAAGCGGCTGCTAATTTTGGCGCGGCTGCCATTTTGAGAGCCACACAGAGCCCTCAGTCATAGAGGTTTCAGGCATCTCTGACAAGAACCAGGCTCTCTCTTCATCCTACTGTGACAGGCACTGATCGGGGCAAACCAAACTCCACTGAGCATTCCCTCAAGACCAAGGTAGAGGCCATGTCTCAAAAAAAGAAATACGCTTGTGGCTATTTGCCAGTGTATCTGAAGATGGGTTTCATAGAATCTGTTGTAAATAAACAACACCCAATGTATTTATGTGTCATAAAACATTATCCAATGAGGCAATGAAGCCAAGTCGATTGCGAGAACATCTTTCTACAAAGCATCCAAATGATAAGGACAAGCCCATTGAATATTTTCAGGAAATATATAAAAATTTCAAAATCGTTCAACAATCGTTGCATCATTTAAGAAACACTCTGCAGCGAACGAAGATGGATTAATTTGCGCTTATTGCATTTCACAATTAATTGCAAAAAGTGGTAAAAGCTATAATATTGGAGAAACAGTAATAATACCCTCTACAAAAGAATTTATTTCAACAGTAATGCATCAGGATATACCTGAAAATTTAAAAACGTTGCCCCTAAGCGATAGCACAGTAAAGCGACGAATTGATGAAATGGCAGTTAATGTTGAAAAAAACCTGATAAGTATTCTCCAAAATATTTCATTTTCTATGCAATTGGACGAGTCTACCACTGCAGATAATAATGCTTAATTGATGACATATGTATGTTATTTTGATGAAAACAATACATAACAAGAAGAAATGCTATTCGCAATAAATCTCATTACAGATACAAGAGGATTATCTATATTTAATACTGTGAAATCATACTTTACAAAAAATAATATTCCTTTGAATAATATTGTTGCACGTGCTACTGATGGAGCACCATCAATGGTAGGTTGTTATCGTGGATTTGTTGCTTATTTGAAGGAAGAAGTGCCAAATGTTTTATGTATTCATTGTGTGGTGCACAGACAACATCTTGTAGGAAAACATCTAAGTACAACTCTCCATTCATCATTAACTATAATAATTCGAGCCATAAACAAGATCAAATCCAAACCAAAAAATGATAGAATGTTTCGACAACTTTGCCAGGACAATAATGAAGATTTTATTACGTTACTTTTGCACACAGAAGTTCGGTGGCTGTCAAAGGGTACATCCTTAGCATTATATGATAGTGTCATACAATTTTTGGAAAGTAATAATGAGACCAATCTGTGTCAACAGTTAAAAACAGTAAAGAATGATGCCTCTTATTTGGCAGATATTTTCAAGAGGTTTCATGATGTCAATTTGCAGCTTCAAGGAGCTAATAAGACTCTTATAGGTTGCCAAAGTATTGTGTCATTATTTATTGACAAACTTGAACTACTTCGTTATAATCTATTGAAGAGAAAATTTCATCAGTTTCCTGAATTATCATCTATAAAAGATGATGTAACTCCAGAGGATATTGACAGAGTCAGTAGCCACCTCAACGAACTTAAATTGGACATGGAAAAACGATTTGAAGATATTTTGAAATTGAAGGTGTATGACTGGATGAAAAATCCTTTTACCGCAAATATTGAAGAGGCTGATATAACTTGCCAAGAAGAACTGTTAGAAATTAGATATGATGAAGAAAGTAAACATAAATTCGATAGTGGTGGATATGAAAACCTATGGCAAAGTAAAAAAATGCCTGCCTTATATCCAAATATGTGGAAAATGATATTCAGTTTATTGATACCTTTCCCCTGCCTCCTATCTTGTAGAATCAGGCTTTAGTGCTGTTAATCATATTATGACCAAAGAAAGAAACCGCCTGAATATTTCCGAAAGAGGAAACCTTCGTTTGTTCTTTACAAAAATTGTGCCAGATATCCAGTATTTAGTTTCGCAGCATCAGCCTCAGGGATCTCATTACTAATTTAATTAATTAAATGTAATTTCATCAGAGTTCCTGTTTCTATAGTGGGGCAAAAAGGTATTTAGTCAGCCACCAATTGTGCAAGTTCTCCCACTTAAAAAGATGAGAGAGGCCTGTAATTGTCATCATAGGTAGACCTCAACTATGAGAGACAAAATGAGAAAACAAATCCAGACAATCACATTGTCTGATTTGGAAAGAATTTATTTGCAAATTATGGTGGAAAATAAGTATGTGGTCACCTACAAACAAGCAAGATTTCTGGCTCTCACAGACCTGTAACTTCTTCTTTAAGAGGCTCCTCTGTCCTCCACTCATTACCTGTATTAATGGCACCTGTTTGAACTTGTTATCAGTATAAAAGACACCTGTCCACAACCTCAAACAGTCACACTCCAAACTCCACTATGGTGAAGACCAAAGAGCTGTCGAAGGACACCAGAAACAAAATTGTAGACCTGCACCAGGCTGGGAAGACTGAATCTGCAATAGGCAAGCAGCTTGGTGTGAAGAAATCAACTGTGGGAGCAATAATTAGAAAATGGAAGACATACAAGACCACTGATAATCTCCCTCGATCTGGGGCTTCACACAAGATCTCACCCCGTGGGGTCAACATGATCACAAGAACGGTGAGCAAAAATCCCAGAACCACACGGGGGGGGCCTAGTGAATGACCTGCAAGAGAGCTGCGACCAACGTAACAAAGACAACCATCAGTAACACACTACGCCGCCAGGGACTCAGATCCTGCAGTGCCAGATGTGTTCCCCTGCTTAAGCCAGTACATGTCCGGGCCCATCTGAAATTTGCTAGAGAGCATTTGGATGATCCAGAAGAGGATTGGGAGAATGTCATATGGTCAGATGAAACCAAAGTAGAACTGTTTGGTAGAAACACAACTCGTCGTGTTTGGTAAGTAATTATTATTACTATTTTTTATTAATTTTTTTTTAAATTTTACAATAAAAACCTCCTTCCCCAATCCCTCCCAACCCACCCCAAAACCCTCCCCCGTTCTTCCCAGAGCTGAATACAGGCTTAACTAGATCTTAAAAGAAAAAAAGTTTTAAACCCAAATAAACCTTAAGCAAATATAATTACACACAATAAACAAATTGTAAAATACTTTAACTCCATTATATATAAGAAACAAAAAGAGGAAAAACAAAAAAGAAAATAAAAAGAAATTAAAAAAAATAAAAAATTAAAGAATAATAACAATTACACTTCTAAATAATATCTTAAACTTATATAAATTATTCAAAAGCTAGATAATATTTTCTTATATCATACTTATATTGTATAAAATTTATCCATCTTTTCCACACCGAAAGATACTTCTCTTGCGATTGATCTTTCAAGAAAGCCGAAATTTTTGCCATTTCCGCTAAGTAGGAAACTTTAAAAAACCATTCTTGCAAAGTAGGCAAAAATTCCTTCTTCCAATATTGCCCTATTAACAACCTAGCCGCAGTAATTAAATTTAACATTAAAATAATCTCTTTATCATCACAATCAGAAACAATACCCAACAAAAACAATTGTGGAGTAAATTTTATCCTTCTTTTAAAAATTCTTTGAATATTCCACCATATCTTAATCCAAAAAGCTTTAATACTTTTACATGACCACCAAATATGATAAGCAACCACATCTCCAACATTTAGGCTGCAGGTTTGGATACATACGAGACATTTTTTGTGGATCAAGGTGCCATCTATAAAACATTTTATAAAAGTTTTCCCGTAAGTTTTGGGCTTGCGTGAATTTAACATTCCTCACCCAAATAATCTCCCAAGTATCTAATAAAATTGGTTCATCAAAATTTTGTGCCCACTTAACCATACAATCTTTAACTAGCTCTGCTTCTGAGTCCAGTTCCACCAAGACACCATCAATTCTTTTAATATGGGTTTGACTTTGATCTCTAATTTGTTTTAACAAAGTCTCATCCTCTCTAAGCAAGCCCACCTTATAATCTATCTTCCACCTTTCCAATAATTGTCTATACTGAAACCATGAATAAATAATATTTTCTTGTACTAATTCATCCATAGATTTTAATTGCCAATTTTTACCATCCCACTTAAGTAATTGTGTATAAGAAGTAATATCCATCTTAACTCCTCTCCTTATTCCTTCTATTGCATGCCATGGAATAGCCCATAATGGAATTCTTGAATCACTTCTATAGTATTTCTTCCAAACCCAAAGTAAAGAAATTCTTAAGATATGAGATCTAAAGACCCTATCAACCTTTTTATTATAAATTAAATAGGCATGCCATCCAAAAAGTAAATCCCATCCCTCCAACCCTGTACTCAGCTCTGGGAAGTGGGGGAGGGAGAGGGGGGGTTCGGGTGGGTGGGCTTTGGGGTGTATACTGTAATTTTTATAAAACTTTTCAATAAAAAAAAGAAAAGGTTTCATGTTCTCACAGTCTTTAGCGGAATTGTAGAAATTTCATTTCTCCATCTAATCCAGTTCTTTCTCTTGTCGTCTGCTGTCTCCTGGTTTTGCCACGCCCACCTTCCAGAAGCCCCAAAGGTGATTTTTCAAGAGGCAGCTGGACTTTCACAACAAAGTCCAGTTGCCTCTTGAAAAAGCACCTTTGGGACAACCGTGACCTGGATGACTGAAAACCTCCATGGACATCCATTATCCAGAACTTTTTTCCCTCATTATTGTTATTTAATGGGGAACCCCAAATATTCTCAGAGAGTCTACTTCTAAATAGTTTGGTGTGAGCTCTAACCATCTCCCAATCTTAATTCCAACAGGATCTGAATGGAAAAGTGTAACAGAGGGGCAACTATGTGGGAATTTCTCTGAAGAAACTGAGCAGGAACCCTTTGAAGAGAAAGTCTGGAACCGAATTCAACCCTCACACCAAGAAGGAAGCCAACAAGAAGAATGGATCGATAAACCCCTTCCTTGTTCCGTTGGAGAGTTCCATCAAATCTCACTGCAGCAAAAAAAAAAAAAAAACCAGGAAGGAGAGGAAAGAAATGGATGTCTCAGTGATCCCTGGGAAATATCTGCCGAGATTGAATCCCAGAAAAGTATTTTGGGGAAGAACACCAGAGACAGGGAAATACTTTATAAAGAAGAGAGTTCATATGCATTTCTGGAAAACCAAGAGAAGTTTCTAGTTCCTTTATTCCTCCATCGTATCAGGCTGTCCATGCTGATGGACAACATCAACCCTCCGATTTCAGCAAAAGCTTTCATGGTCCATCCAACCTGCTGACACCGCCGAGAATCCCTAAAGTGGAGAAGTTGTATAAATGCTTGGAATGCGGGAAGTCCTTCAGTCGCAGCGCCCATCTGATGTCCCACCAGATCATCCACACCGGAGAAAAGCCGTATACGTGTTTAGAGTGTGGGAAGAGCTTCGTTCAGAGCGCCCACCTCACCTCCCATCAAATTATCCACACAGGGGAGAAGCCGTACCAGTGCTCGGAATGCGGGAAAAGTTTCAACAAGAGCACCAACTTCGTGAGGCATCAGAAGATCCACAAAGGAGAGAAGCCGCATCAGTGCGCCGATTGCAACAAGACTTTTTCTGACAAACCGAGTCTCATTCAGCACCAAAGGGTTCACACGGGGGAGAGGCCATACAAATGTTACGAGTGTGGGAAGAGTTTCAGTCATAGGGGCAGCCTCAATGCGCATCAGCGGATGCACACGGGGGAGAAGCCGTACGGCTGCAAGGACTGTGGGAAGAGCTTTCGGGATCAGTCCAGCCTTATTAGACATAAGAGAACCCACACCGGGGAGAAACCCTACACCTGCTCCGAGTGTGGGAAAAGCTTCAGCCAGAGCACAAACCTGACTTTGCATCAAAGGGTGCACACCGACGGGAAGCTTCCAGAAGAGTCTCCCCAAATACTTAACACAGGGATGGCCATGTTAGTCTTTCCACCAAATCCTGCAAATGATTTAGTGGCACTTGAAAGCTAACATTTAGTGGTACTTGGCTCAATAGTACTAACTGTGAGAGGGATTGTCCTGGTGGACAATCATTTAAATATGAGCCAGCAGTGTGCTGCAGCCGCCAACCAAGCCAACACAATTCTAGGCTGCCTTAATAGAGGGATAGAATCAATATCATGTGAAGTGTTAATAAGGGTTTACAATGCCTTGGTAAGACCACACTTGGAATACTGCATCCAGTTTTGGTTGCCACGGTACAAAAAAGACGTTGAGATTCTAGAAAGAGTGCAGAGAAGAGCAACAAAGATGATTAGGGGACTGGAGGTTAAAACATATGAAGAACAGTTGCAGGAATTGGGTATGTCTAGTTTAATGAAAATAAGGACTAGGGGTGACATGATAGCAGTGTGTCAACAGCCAGCTCGAGAATCCAAATAAAGCTCCAGCTTCATTCTGTTTCCAAAAATCTTACTGTTTATTAAGTTGATTGATTTTGCTGAAACAAAACTAACTCTGAGGTTCTAACACCAATTCATAGACTTAAACAATAATTTTCCCAGCCAAACCCCCAATGTCTTACGTAGTCCGTATAAACAAGTTGTGTTTGTTATGGGAACTGTCTGCTTCAAATCCACACCTGTTCTGGTGTCCTTGAAAAGGTTTCAGGTTCTCACAGTCTTCAGCGGAATTGTACAAATTTCATTTTCCCATCTAATCCACTGGAAAGTAAGACTCCCTCCCCCCTTACTCTAAAGGCAAGTTGAAATGCAGAGGAACATAGCTGTCAAAGTTTCATCCTTGAGACAGTGTTCCATTATTTGAGGGGCTGCCACAAAGAAGAGGGGGTAAACCTATTTTCCAAAGCACCAGAAGGCAGGACAAGAAGCAATGGATAGAAACTAACAAGCAGAGAAGCAACCTAGAACTAAGGAGAAATTTCCTGAAAGTCAGAACAAATTAATCAATGGAATAGCTTGCTTCCAGAAGTTTAATGGGAGTGCTCCATCACTGGAGGTTTTCAAGAAGAGATTGGACAACCATTTGTCAGGAATGTTATAGGGCCCCTTGTTTCTATAGAGGGTTGGACTAGAAGACCTCCAAGATCTCTTCCGTTATTGTCTTCTGTAAATCCATGTGGCCAGCTTGCACTCCTGCAGGCAATGCTTTCACTGACTTTGCTGGGGCCCTGTCACCACTGTTGTGACTGCTCTTCTCTGCCTGCTGATTTGAAGAATGCCGAGATTGGACTCTCCAGTTCTCTCCCACAGGCCATCTTGCAACAGGTGTGGCAACCAGAGAAGACACAAGAGAATGCCAGAGTAGCTTCCAAAGGTGGGGGGGGCAAGGAAACCATGATCCTCCCCAGGGCACAGCTCAGCCCCCTCCCCGAGGGCCACCATCAGCATTCCCAGCTCTTTTTTTCTTCCCTTCCTTCTTCCCCAATCACCTTTCCACTTTATGAATTTCTATTTGCGTATATAGGTATTCCCCGACTTACAGCAGTTTGCTTAGTGACCGTTCAAAGTTACAACAGCACTGAAAAAAGTAACTTACGTCTGATTTACACCCCCTGTCATGGTTCCGACAGATGACACTCTTCAAAAGAACTTTGAGGCATTGTTTACCTTAAAGGATCTTTTATTCGAGTAGCATAATACCGGCACTTACATAATCGAAGCCAAAAACTGAATTCCCCCCCCCCCGGCACATAGTATCAAAGCACAATTCCCTCCCTCCTCCAATTAACAGTCATAAATCACATTCCCCAATTAGCTTGAAGTGTGGGGTTCTTCTCCAGCTCTCCAGCCTGCCAATTCTTTATCAGCTCTGGCTCAATAACCTTGATTCTCACGCTACGTTTTAGTGTTGTTATGTCTAGCTGGACTCTGGAATCTGAAACAAAAAAAGCATTGTTGGTAAAACTTTCTGTCAGACCCAGCGCACCACCCACCCTCCAGTAGCCCCGTTACCGGCTCACACAATGGCAACATTGGAGAGGCCCCAACAGCTGATCCGGTGGGTCCGCGTTTCGCGCCGCCATTGCAACCACGGAGATGGGCAACCGGGATTCCTAGAGTGGCAGCTCCGTGTTTCGCACTGCTATTGCAACCACCGAGATGGGAAACCGGGATTCCTAGAGCGGCAGCTGATGAGCCCATGTGACTAGCTAGGATGGCTAGTAATTGATATACTTAGATGGCTAGTAACAACAGCACAGACGAAACGCGGTGAACGGAGGGGAGGCTTCTTCGTACTTATGTTTTTTGGACTTCCAAGTGTCGCTGGGTCTGTCATTAGTGGACGTTGGAGCAGAGGACTGGACGGTAAAGCAGAGTGTTGCCGGCTTTGTTCATTTCACTTCTATGTGTGGGGCGTGGACTGGGGCAGGAGAGCACAGCATTGTTAATTAAGTTATTGGTGGGGTGTGGGTTATCAACTGGGGTTGGGCTAGGCGAGGGTGGAGTATGGTCATGGGTGGTAATTGGGGTGTGTGCTCTGGGCGTGGTAGGTGGCTGTATTTAAGGCACTGGAAGGAGGTTACTTCCAGTGCTAACTTAATGTCAACACAGTGCATTAAACTTGTTGATTGTTCAATGTTCCTGTTTCTTGGCTTTTGTGAAGCACTACCAGGACGTTCTTGCAGTAAGTTAGATGGGCCTTATCCACCTGGCGCCATTTACTGGAGTGGGCACAACATCTCTTTGAAGTGTGGACAGACCACCAGAATCTAGCAGTTCTACAAACGCCTGGGCGGTTGTCTCCTAAACACGTGCGTTGGGTGCAATATTTCCAACGTTTCCGATTCCAACTTAAAGTCGTTCCAGGGGGGAGAAATTTCCTAGCGGATGCCCTCTCTCGCCTACCGCAATATGATAGTACGAGGGAGGAGGTGGTCCAGGCCATTATGCCCCCTTATAGCGTCGGAGATCTGCATGTAGATTCCTGCTCGAAAATGACATTGTTTGAGGATGAGGTGAGAACAGCTTTATTACAAGATCCTTGGTTGTTGAATAATCCCGGGTTACTTACAAACCGGAATGGTTTAGCATGGTATGGCAATAGACTATATATTCCCCAGGGATTACGAGATTGCGTTTATCACCGTTGTCATGATGCTAAATTAGCCGGCCATTTCGGTTTCCTGAAGACGTTACACCTAGCCAGACGTCAATTTTGGTGGCCTGGAATGAGAAGAGACATTGAAACTTATGTGAAGGGCTGTCACATCTGTGCACAATCAAAGGTAGTACCCAAAAAACCAGTGGGACTGTTACAACCAGTATCTGATCCAAATCAGCCATGGCAGGACATTGGAATGGATTTTATAGTTGACTTACCGGAGGTACAGGGTTATACCATTATATGGACAGTGGTTGACTTGTTTTCAAAACAAGCCCATTTCATACCCTGTAAGGGATTGCCGTTGGCAAGAAGACTGGCCAGAATGTTTTTAACACATATTTATCGTTTGCATGGGGCACCTCGTCAAATTATTTCGGACCGTGGCATACAATTTACGGCTCAATTCTGGCGTCAGTTCCTTCGATTCATTGGTACTGCTCAAGGTCTCAGCTCTGCGTATCATCCCAGTACCAACGGGGCAGTGGAGTGGGCCAATGCTGCTGTCGAGCGATATCTGAGGAGCTACGTATCCTATCAACAGTCGAATTGGGTGGAATTGGTGCCATTAGCGGAAGTCGCATATAATAACGCAGTACATAAGAGCACCGGCCTCACACCATTTCAGGTGGTGTATGGACGCGACTTTGTCCCGATGCCAGAGTGTGGGTCCCAGGAATCCCAGCCTCGTCACCCCAATGAATGGTTTAACCACGTAGGTGAGGTATGGGGTACAGTGAAAAAGGCCCTGATAAAAGCAGAACAAGCAACTAAACACCAGGCGGATAAAACTCGTAGCTTACAGGTTCAGTTTTGGGTGGGGGATCTAGTGTATTTATCGACTAAATATATAAAGTTGCAGGTGCCGTGCAAAAAACTAGCACCAAAGTACATCGGACCCTTCCGCATAGTCCAGATTATTAATCCGGTGACGGTGAAGCTTCATTTACCGAGTTTGCATGATAAGGTGCATCCAGTCTTTCACGTAAGCTTGTTGAAACCTGTAAGGGAGAAACCCCAAGAACAAACCCCAGGGCCCATCACCCCAGGGCGGTATGAAGTACAAGATATCCTGGATTCGCAGGTGAAGGGGGGTAAACTTTATTATCTAATCTTATGGAAGGGATATCCCCTGTCCGATGCCTCCTGGGTGTGGAAGGGGGATGTCTTTGCTCCCGACCTGATTCGTAGATACCATAGGAAATTTCCACGCAAACCTGGGGAGGGGCCGAATAACTCTTCATGTGCATGACAAAAGGCCTTACTCATCTTAGTATGCTTTCTTCCAGGGGGACATGTGGTGAGGGGGGCCGAATATCAGACCCAGCGCACCACCCACCCTCCAGTGGCCCCGTTACCGGCTCACACAATGGCAACATTGGAGAGGCCCCAACAGCTGATCCGGCGGGTCCGCGTTTCGCGCCGCCATTGCAACCACCGAGATGGGCAACCGGGATTCCTAGAGCAGCAGCTCCGTGTTTCGCACTGCTATTGCAACCACCGAGATGGGAAACCGGGATTCCTAGAGCGGCAGCTGATGAGCCCATGTGACCAGCTAGGATGGCTAGTAATTGATATACTTAGATGACTAGTAACAACAGCACGGACGAAACGTGGCGAACGGAGGGGAGGCTGCATCGTACTTATGTTTATTGGACTTCCAAGTGTCGCTGGGTCTGTCATTAGTGGACGTTGGAGCAGAGGACTGGACGGTAAAGCAGAGTGTTTCCGGCTTTGTTCATTTCACTTCTATGTGTGGGGCGTGGACTGGGGCAGGAGAGCGCAGCATTGTTAATTAGGTTATTGGTGGGGTGTGGGTTATCAACTGGGGTTGGGCTAGGC